TAACAGCAGCATCAAGTTTATTCTCTTGTTGTTTTATTTCCTTGAGTAAATCATCAACTTGACGTTTGTTTTCTTTTGACAGCTGCTCTTCTTGATTCTCAGCTTTATCTAAAAAGTATCATTGCCAGAAAACATTTCTTAGCTGTATCCAACATTATTTGAAAGAAACTGTAGGTGAACAGTAGACACAGATCAACCCAAAACTAATCAGGTTTGTGAATTATCCCAAAGAATCAGTGTACCACGTTTCATTGCAATCCAAAGAGTGGTTCTTTAAATATCAGTGAAACATACATACATTCATCATACACACAGATTGGGTAAATGCAAAAACTCTTAGACTACAAATTTGACAATGCAATTACAATGTACTTTGGTTTGCGATGAAATGTATGTGAAAATTCATATTAGTTTATCATCAGCCAATGTTTTATGATGAACAGATATGCTATGTTTGCTTCAAAATAGTTGATCAGCCATTATTATCAGCCAATAGCTCTGCTATTTCAGTTGCATTATGAGAAGGGAATATCAAATCAATCAGTATAGCCATTCTCAAGATAACAAAAATATTCCCTAAAATGAGAAAATTAAATGAAATAATCTGATAGAGAACAGAATCAAATCAATGTGAAAGTGATCTATCCAAAGTAATTTCATATAAAATATCAAAACAATCGAGTTAGTGATTTTCAAAAAAATCATCCTCATGAAAATCTACAAATCTGAGAGGTCAACCAATTTTCAATAAAAAGTTTTACAAAATTTACATAAATATTGACAAAAATAAAAGAATTATCACAAAATGAATGAATCTGACTGAGGTCCACCCAAGTTGTCTACATAAACAAGGAACCTGACAGTCGAAATAGTTCCATTGTCCTACAAGAACATTGTTGTAGTTAATTCGAGCAAGGCACACCCACAAAGAAGTAGTTTGATTTTGGCTGTTGAGAGGATGTAAACTTAACTCCATCAAAAAAATTTCATTTTTTACCAAAAATTAAAAAAATATTTGCCAAAAACAGAGAAACAGCGTCCGGATTACTTTCGGAAATTCCGTCGCGTTTCAGAAAGTTTTAATTTTCACAACTTTTGAATATTTATTTGTGCTTTTAGGTTAGTGAGGAGGTTATAATAATTTTTCATTTCACTTTAACTCTGTTTTTTTCACCCCTCAGACCCCTTTAAAAAGTCGCTTCTGGCCATTATAATGGCCACTATTTTCTTAATGGCCAGAATATTGACCAGAAATTTTTAAGTGGCCAAAATATTTACCAGTGTTTTTAAAATGGTGGTTTTAATGACCCATGTTTTTTATACTGGTCAGAATAATTACAATTGCTTTTTAAATGATGGAGTTGATGACATTTTTTTTTGATGGGCAGTATAATGGTCATTTTATTTTTCATTACATACATAACATGACCAGTATTTTTGTTCATGTCACTAATGGCCCAGAAAAAAGCCTGCTACCTCATGTGAGTCAATATACGTGTACGTGTAGGAATTTATTTTTCCAAGTTTCACTGGCGCTTGCAAATACACTTAAATGAAATTTCGCGAATATTGCCTCGATCCCCAGTGAAATTTCATAGTAACGCTGATGCCAGTGACTGCTGGTGGACTACATAACCTGCAGAGTATTTAGATGGTGTTGAATCATAGGACGATTGCAGTACTGAAACTGGCACATCAAGGTATGAATTTGTAATTATTTTACAATGACGTCAAAACATTATTAGATACTTTTGTTGTTGTTTATGTAGCAGGATAGTCTTTTGGGGCTTTCGTTTTTGTTCTCAAAAATTATATAAATTAAAAAACACTGTGGCATTTGCTCTATGTACTATCATACCTATTTTTTGAAAGAAGTAAACGCGCAAGTTTTTGTTCGGTCATGGCACTCTGTGCAAGTACTGTTTCATTATTATTCATAATTGTCAAACAACAAGCTCAAGTAGGTGTTAATGAGGATTAGCTTCTATGTTTGTTAATACAAGAAAGTATAAACAAAGGTTATTTCCAACTCCTGGAATCTGCAAAA